CTGAGGAGGGGAGGAAGAAGGGAGGGGGTTTCTGGGTCCAAGCTGGGATGGTTTAGGGAGAGAGAGAGGCCACGGCAGAGGGGAGCAGCCCCTGCAGAATGACCAGAAAGCTTAGGGGGTTGAGGAATATCTGTGCTCCATTTCTGGGCTCCTGCCGCGGGTCAAGAACACAGTCATCCCTCTGGTGGGTCTTCTGGAACAGAATCAGGTTCCCTTGCTGGCCAGGGACCTCGCTGACAAAAGGCCTACCTTGCTGCAGGCAGGCTATTGAAACAAAGGAACTCTTGCCCACCCAGGTGCCCTCACCACCACCCCCTATATTATGTTTGTACATTTACCTTTTTGATGTTACATTTTATTAATACTTTAAGGATTTCAGATATGCATACAATGAATTTTTATCATTGCAGAATATCGTTCTGATTTTTAATATATAATGTATAATGACTGTTACTACTATGCTATATTATTTCTAGTAAATAGAACCACTTTTTCTTGGTACAATTCTGATAGCTAGACAGTGTTTGTTGTCCTTCTTGTGGAACACTTGACAGATGTTAAAGACTGAGGGTAAATCTAAGGGAAGAAAAATGTAAACACATACAAATCATTAATGTTTATTACATAATTGTTATTAAGTATCTTTAGCAACAGATACTAAATTGTCAACATCTTGAACAATATATTAAGGTAATATTTTCATAACCCTATGAATTATAACTTTATTCATTTTTCTTTCTTTATGATTTTAAGTTGATATGGGTGCTTTTCTTTGTATGTATATCTGTGCAACACTGCTATCTGTGGTGACAATGGATGCATATCTGGTAAAGTAATTGCTAACTAGAGGAACATTGCTTGGTCCTGTAAACTCTTTCATATTTTACTCAAAGCAAAGCATGTATGTCTAGCAACCTTATCTCTTTGGGGAGGAAATATGGGTAGTAAAATAATGGCTTTTTGATATTTATAAATGATTAATTCCATAGTGGGTCTAATGTATGCTGTAAGCGTGAATTCTGATGTGAATGGTTATAAGATATCTAATTCAAACTTCTCCAGTATTATGTGGGTCAAAATTTAAATGAGTTAATTTCAGGAAAAATCATCAAGCTAGATCTTAAGTTGTATTACAAATTCCAGATAGCATAAAATCTACAAAATAATATTATATCTCAGAGTGATGAGGAGAATTACTCTCAGGAAATAAAACATATGAACTGAAGGTATAGCCACTAACCGACATATCCATTCAGGGAGCAACAATGATTATTCAAGTATGCACTTTCCAAGCCAAATTGAGCATTGCAAAAATATCTATTGGAGGATACAGAAGATTATGAACCCTGCAACCAGTGCTGATGTCCCATGTAGCCAAATTTCATGCAAAAACAAATTAACAAAAAATAAGTCTTCAAGCAAACACAACTACAAATATTATAGTCATAGTCTATAATGAGAGTACGTTCAATGACATACTAGAAAGATACAAAAAAGGATAGTAACAAAATTCAAGAACATCAAACAAGACATAAATCACTTATAAAAAGGCAATGAAATCATAAATACCATACCATAAGGAACTGAGTGAGCATGTGATAGATACTTTCCAAATGGTAGAAAAATTATAAAAAATATTCAGGCTAAAATATGTAAAGGAAACAAAAAAGAAATCCAATAAATATCTCAAAAGTTTTTCTCATAAG